AAATTTTTTTTTATATTTATACCATGGTAATTAAGGACGATTTTTATTGTATCTTGAAATATCCTGATTCTGTAAATAACATAATTAAAATTTTTTATTTCATAAGCTTTCCTTCATTTGTGTTTGTCATATACATATTGATGTAATTATTAAATTTATTAACTGTCGAATAGTGTTAAAAAATAAATATTTTTTAATCGAGCGAAAAAATATTAATTTGTAAATGAAATGTTTTAAAGCGTTTATTTTGAAAATTTTTTTATTCTGAAAATTAACTACAAATAACTAAATGGAATGATTAATATCAATAGAGTTCAGCACTCTACACTGTTTATTAAATAATAATTGAACAGCATTTACATCATTTGTCCGGAAGAAAACGAACGAGTATATACGGTGAAAAGAAGGTGATTTTACCGTGAGTTGACGGTCGAACGATCGTCGAACCGTAGTAGGTCCACAGTGATATCACTATGAGTTTATGAGGTGTTCACTTTGAAAAAATCATTTTTCCGCAGTAGAAGCATGCCATACTGGCAACATAAATGCTAAGGTTCCACGAATTACGAACGGTCTTTTCATCATAGAACTGCTGATAAGTCAACATTTATTTACCATCTGTAGTTAGTGACGCAACAGAACGAATATACTGTTTTTCGACAGTGATTTCACCCTACTACAACCATAACTAGATAGTGAAATAGCCGTCACGTGAAACGACCGTGAATCGACCATCTTTTCACTATGGAGTCACCGCGGATTTACCGTAAGTATGAAACCGCCAGGGTAGACATTTATATGCGCACATATATGTGAACATATATGCACAAATGTATGTTTACATATATCTACGCATATATGTGAACATATATGTGGACATATATTTAGCGCAAAAAAAATATATGTGAAAATATATATTTGCATATATTTTTCGCATATATATTTTTCCATGCGGGCAAGGAAACCACAGAAATCTGGCCAGGGTACAGTTGGCAAGGGAGCAAGCCTTGGAAATCGCAGAAAAATTGCGACTGCCAGGGTTCGAACCCACGCCTGAGCGATTGTTGTACGGGCAGTTTAAGACTTAAACCGCTCGGCCACGCAGTCGCCTTCTATTTATTTTAAAAAAGATAATTGTCTTCACTTTTTTCAAGGTCTGTGGCAATTGGATATATCATAATATTTAAATGATCAAACTTTATTTCACCCCATCAGGTAATATTGTTTGTTAGTTTATAACATGGGATGAAACCAATAACTTCCCGACTTATTGAAAATCACAGATTCTCATAGTGGGAAGTTGAAAGTAAATTTTATTAAAATAAGGGCTATATTCTTTTGACTTATTATAATAATTAATTTTATTTTGATAACATCTTTATTGAACACAATTCTCAGTAATAATTAGAAAAATTTCTCAAAAATTACGTCCTTTAGCAAAAGGACTATTCGTATTAGTAGGAACCTCATACCATCCTCTAACATTTCTATCGACATACTCATCAGCAAGTTTCAGAACGCTTTCTCTTGAAACTTCTCCTCCGATAATCTGTCGATGCAAATATTCAGGATAACCCCAAAATCCGTTCTCTGAAATAATAGACTCTGCAAAGTATACTGGAGCTCGTTCATGAGCACAACCAATATTGAGATCTCCGCATCCAGGTTGGATTTCGCCCCAGTTCATCTTGAAGTCTACATGTCCACAAGCTTCTGCTTTGCCCTGGATAAAGGACTCTGTATGATAGACGTCCACGAATTCTGCATCTGAAGAATCCAGTTTGGCGTCCAATCCTACATTCATCAAGAATGGTTTTGCAGGGTCCAAACCTGTGATGCGTTTGAGTTTGTTGTTCCCCAGGTAGGTAGTTGCCACGGCAGGAATATGGGCACCCAGGCTGAATCCTATCGCATGAATATCTTGGACCCCGTGTTTTATTAATACGAGAAAGAGTCTCGCCACGTAGACAGCAATTATCCTTGAACGTCCAATAGTAGAGACATATTCACCCTCAGCATAATGAGACCAGTCCACCATTATGACGTTGCAGTCATATTTGGACAGGTAGTTGTTTTTTATTCTGACCAAAGCAAAGAAATTAGAACTAGACTTGAAGCCGTGGACGATCACTTTAGTAGATTTGGTGACGTCAAAGCCTATTTGTAGTATGTTATTGTACTCTTTGGAGATGACTATCGTCTTCGAATCAGATTGTTGCTTTCTAGTAAACAGTTTGAAGTGAATGTTGTCTTCATAATTTGCGTCGCAGATTACTACAATAACCAAGATCAGAAAATAGCAAGTTATTGTCTTTAAAGACATATTTGGAGTGGTAACTACGTTCGAACAATGTAAAACGATACTGAAGACACTTATCAAAAAACAACCTTTTTAATGTTTTAATCTTTCAGCTATTTAAAAAAAAGATAAAAATGAAGCTTCTAGAAATTCGAAGTCACCGAATAGATTCTAAGGTTGAGAAGTTACAGAATGTATTTTCTATTAGAATAACTACAAAATGGAAAAGAACAGAAATAAGTTCTTTTACTAGCACGTCGTTATACTGTAGTGAAGTAGGGGGAATAGCTTTATCATCAAAAGAAATAAAGTCAAATTTAAGCTGTTTGAATTTATAGGAATTCTGATGTAACTAGATTAAATTGATTGTACGTAGTAGTGTTAATTATTATTTTATCAATAAGTCATACGTAGTCGTCAGTAGTCTGATTAGTCACTGGATTTGGATGAGTAGAAGGCAATTAGGAAACAAATGGAAGCAGTTTTTCTACTCACATAAAATCACAAAACTGATGTTTTAAATACTTCAATAACACAACACATACAGAATCCCTTTTTACTAAATTACGACAAACTTGAATTATTGTTGAAACGAATGCAATAATAAAATTTAATTGAATACTTGCACATAGAGGAGTAGGTTATTTTTAGTCTAGGAGAATTGAATGACATGGAAATTGAAGCTTATTTCATGAGTTTCAGAGGCAATTTACAGAAATTCTATAAGTTATCTCATTGAAATATTATCCGTGGAAGAAACTGCAAAAACATGAATATTTACGATTTTGAAAATTTTGAAATCCTATTATTTTTTTATTACTTGACCGATTAAGATCATCTTTGAACTTGCCCTTGGTATTTGTGTGTAGAATAAGTATGTTGTGTTTAGAAAAGATATAGTATGATTTGGAGATGGTATCGTCGTGATAAGTCACGTTCTATCGTATATATATATATGTAAAATTTTCAACCATATACATTTTTTAACCCAGTCTGACGAGCAAAATAGCAAAATTTTCTAAGAATTCCGCCATGAGGACAAATGCAATAGTTAGATTTCTATGAAATCTACAAAAGAATTTGTACGTATTCATGATTTTAACATGATTTGGTGTTACTAACACAGAATTCCCTTTTATCGTCGATAGAAAGTTAATAATAAATCATTTACCTCATATCCTAAATTGATATTATATTTTTTTTTTTTAGAATTGTGTCAATTAACGACAAATAAAATAATCTAAAAAACTAAAATGGATAAAACCCGAGATTCTCCACAGCCATATATCACAGAATTGACTTTTTTTTAATTAATATCAAGTCATCAAATAGCGAGTTAATAAATCATTTAGCTCATATCCTAAATTGATGTTACAATTTTTTCTAAGAATTGTGTCCATTAACGACACAATTACTTAGAAAACTAAAACAGATAAAACCCAAAATAATTCGAAACGAAACATTACAGAATTTAATTTTTTTTATTAATAACAAGTTAATAAATCATAGACCTGTCATCCTAAGTGGATTTTATAACTTTCTACTAAAATTGGGTACATTAATGAAAAAATTACTTAAAAAACTAAAATATATTACCCAAAATCATCTGATGCAATACATCACTAAAAAATAATTTATGATACATATAGTAAAATCAATCTAAGTATAGATCGTTACATGAAGAAAATGAACAAAGATAAGATAATAGAAAATAAATAAGATAATAGAATAAAGAAAATACTCTTCGGTGACTCGGCTGGCCAATTTCAAAACACAATAACTAATATTTAAAATTTTTTTTCAATTTTTCTTATTAAAAAAAAGTTTGCCCGCCAAATTAATGAAAAATTTGATTTGTGAATAGAAAATATTTGAATATAATTATTTTTAAGAAAAAATACTTGAAATTAAGGTCTAAAAATTATACAAAATGCCGCAATACTAGAAAAAATTAGGTATAAAAATTTTGCAGTTACTGTGTTTTAAAATTGGGCAGCCGGACTATTTCACTTAAAAATTTTTAGATATAGTACGAGGAAAAAAATTGTTTCATGATAAAATTTCAATATTATTCAGTTAAATCAACTCAATTATTTAAAGTTTTTGAATTGTTAAGTAGTTGTAATTTGTGGATTCATATACATTTTTTCTGTTCATTAAAAAATACATAGAAAGGTATGTAATTATTAAATTATCTATCCCCACTTCGATACCCAGCGATCGAATAGTAACCTATATATACTTGCGCATAGTTACAAAATTTAACACTCAAAAAAGTAAAACTACATATTACATTTTATTAATTAGCTTAGTATGCGATAATTTTTTATTGAAAATTTTGAAAAATAAAGCAATATAAAACTATCAATCGTTGAATGTTAGCTCAGTTACTCTGAAAAACCAAAACTATTTTTACAGATTTCATTATTGAAACAATCTAGTACGATAATGTCGAAATTATTTCTCGGATTTCTTCTTTTGATTATTTGTATAGTGACATCTTGCGTGGAAACCAATGACTTAGATGAACTTTTGACAATCGTTAACCAGAGAATAGATACCATCAATGGAGAGTGCACGAACTTTCTAGGCGGCGTAAGTTTTTTCTATTAATTAACTAACGAATTATTTTTTCCAGAAAAAAATTTTTTTTTGATCTATGCACATCTATACGGATCAATGTAGATGAAAAAAAATGGTGAATTTATGTACTTATAGATTTAAAAAAGCTTACAGATTATATGGATTATGAGAGGTTTTTCCTGTGAACTTTGTTACTCTGTCAGCCTTTATGTGCGGGTTCATGCAGCTTCTGCTTCAAACGGCTTCAACCGAGTAGGCACTGACTGGGTCCCGAGTGGGTACTGAATGGGCTCGTGTGGGTACTGAATGGGTTCGTGCGAGTCTGATCCGAGACTAGAACGGGGGGCGACATCAACACGAATGGTTCTTATAATAAAATGATCATTATAGGTATCAATCCTATGCTCCTTATGGGAACCATACCCATAGTTTATTCGAAAAAATCCTATACAATAATGGAATAGCTTCAATATATTATGGTTATGGTTCCTACATTGTATATGCGTCATCACTATAATATTATGGGAATGGTTCCTATAATACTATAGGAGGGGTTCCGATGATATTATCCCTGTTTAAAATTTCCAATAGGATCCCATCAAAAGCGACAAAAGCCACTTAGAAACTCATAAATTTTATTGGTTTCTAAGTGACTTTTGTCGCTTTTGATGGGATTTTTACGTATAAATTGTACGGCTGTAACACCAGCGGTCACCCATCCACCTACTAACCATGCTCAATGCTGCTTAACTTTGGTGATATCCGTGGGCTTTGAAGTTCCCGCCTGCTGTGCTGCTATCTTATGTGATGATTATTCTATGAAGTACATAACGTGTCAAATTAGTTTATCATAAATATAATATAAAAATTGAGTTTATAATATATTTTGATAGTCATAATTTACTTATTTAACCGAATCTCATCATACCATCACATTTATTTAAATAATAAAATAAGTAATGATTTTAATATTAGACAGGAGCAGATCGGACCAAAACATTCCATAGAAAATGTAACAAATTTTTGAAGTTATACTTCTTTAGGCGCGTTATAAAAAAATGATGAGAGTGAATTTTTATGATGCGCGCGCAGCACCGTCACACGAAAATCTATATGTTGAAGTTGGTCACAGAATAGAATATTAGAATATTAAAAGGATATATTTTTTAAATGACTAAGTTAACTCATATACAGGCTAGTTGCAAAGTATCCAACGAAACGTTGTTATTTTCAAATTCGATAGAAATACCATTTAATATGAAGTATATTATTTATATTAAGGGGGGAAATACGTGTAGAAGGCCGTTCTCAGGCTGATTTCATTAATTTTTTTAAGATATAAAAAATTAATATTATTTATGGAAACTATCAGATTATTTTATACATATATTTATGAGTATTTTTTCGTATTAAACATTAATATAAGTTAACAAATAGCGGAGATATCAGTTGATACACATCGTAGGTTGTCATCCGCCTTAGCAGTCTGTGTGCAGTATGGAAGCCACAATTTTTATTTGAAATTAATGGCACAGAAAAATTACTTCATTTATATGTGTATCTTCCATATGAGCCTCAATTTAAAAAAAAAAGTAAAAATTTGCATTTTTTAGAGGGCTGTGAAATAAATTCGTGATTTTTTACCACTTTTTTACACATTGTTTATTAAAAAAAAATAGTTTAAATACAAATATCGCTTTCGATTGAGGTTCATATTCAAGGTAATTGTATATTAAAGAAAATTATAAGCCATATCACAAAATGATTGGTTTAAAACTCTTTGAGCTAGACTGCACACAGTTTTGAAAAAGCTCGTTTCGAGAAAAACGCGTTTGAAAAAAAAGTGACAGAAAAAGTTAATGTAAAATAGTATTAAAGTAATTAGGAATTTCTGAATAAATATTAATTAAAAAGATATTATCACTATATTAGGTTAAATAATAAATAATGAAGTATTTTATAACAAACATAAATTTTAAATAAATAATTAATGATACTAAAGTTAGCCGCGACATTTTTAATTTTTTGATTTTATTTTTAATAATATATATTTTGAGTTTTACTTGTATACCATTATCTGGTTTTTACAAGGCTGATATCCCCACTCTTTTTTGGGGAATCAACTATATCTCCACTTTTTATTGCGGCTGTGGACCGACTTGTGCCTTCTGTACCGTATTCACCCTGATCCTCACCACTCGGCTATTGGAACAGAAACATGGAAAAACCACAGAGAAAACCCATGTTAGTACAGTCGGAGCTGGGTTAAGTCTACAGTGGTTGATAAGAACTCTTCTTTATCGACCACTGGAGCATTAGGCCCCTCTCCTAGTGTGCAGAGATCCCTCGCGCTAGCCAACGCTGACTAGAGTGGTCATCCATTTAAGTTGTTGCTTAAATGTGTGATCGCCCAAGTCAGACGTGTGCCGCCCGGCTATCTC